TTGTATTATCGTTTCCATAAGATATCGTAAAGGGATTAATTTTTGTATCGCTTCAGGAAGAATACGACCAACTCTGTACCGTGGTCAACAAAATCGCTCATCCACTTGCCTCACGGAAACTAGCGAAAAAAATTTACAAACTCATTAAAAAGGTTGTCGATCCGAACTTGGCGATTATTTTCCATTGATAGATACATTCTTGAAACTGGAAATTTCCATCCGTCTGAAAGTTCTGTTGCACCTTTGGATAGATACGCCAAAACAGTAATTAATAATAGGACGACTAGTAGAGAATTATGATTAACGAAAAAGAAAACGAATCAGTTGAGGTATTTTCAAAGTGCTGTTAATGTAATTCGATAAAGCGACTAAATATGCCGTACATTTTAATTCGTCAGGCATCACAAGAAAAGAACTATCTGAGACAAGGAATAAAAGACGTTCATAAGGCGATTCGCCGCAATGAAAAGGGCATCGTCATTCTCGCAGGTACTACTTGATACCATTCTATTATCTCTCTACGACAGTTCAGATGTGATCAATGATAATGAACATCTTGTTCAGAGCATTCTGTGATCGGTGATAATCCAAATGATCATTGGAACTTTCTGTACTGATTTGAATTGTAACGGTGAATGTGGTTCAAATTTCAATGAGTGATTATTTTTTGAACTATTTCAATAGGTTACTGGAAATATTATTACTGCTAGTGGATTATTATGATGATAAGTTTTGTTTGAATAGGTGATGTGAGCCCGTTGGACATCTACTCACATATGCCAGCGTTGTGTGAAGCGAAAGATTTGTTGTACGTCTTTACACCGTCGCGCAAACATCTCGGCTTAGCGACAGGTTCGTCGATTTATTTTGTCAAGTAACGTGGTGTTCTTTGGGAGAGTGTTCTTGTTGTACCCATTTAAGAGTAGACATTTCATTTTTTAAATTTTATTCTCCATTCGTTTATCTGTTCGGCTCGTCAACAAGTACTACCAATGACTGCACTTGAAAAGCCCCTCCGGATACAGAATTTTGCAAAATTATTTCTAAGAACCTGAGCAGTTGCTTTTATCGTCTGCGTCGGCTCTGTCATTTTGCCGATTCAATCTTTTTATCTCATTTTTTGGTTAGACTCGAGCCTTTC